GAAATCACGTGGTAGGATCCAGTTTTCCCTTTATCATTTCCATATTGTTTTGGATCTCACTAGCATAAAAATAATAAAACTCATAAGAGTATTGTTTTTCTATCAATAATTTTTTAGTTTGTTTTGATACACATATAATTTAATAGGGTAGTATTTTTTATTTTCAAATTTAGTGGATAACAATTGTAAAAAATGAGTGAAAACAATCCCACGGACAATGCGACGGATTTATAAGGTTATGTCAAGGAACGTCTCTTGTGAATATCAATTGATTGTTAGGTTTTCTCTTCTGAAATTACATTATGACGCATTCACATACATTATTAATACAAATACATTTTCCAGGGCGGGCGAGACGATGAGGCAACCACAAGCACTTCCACTGGTTCAAGAGGTCGACGAGGGAAAAATGCACAATATTACCGTGATTACAGAGCACGGAAGCGAGCGGAGCAGGAAAAAGAGTTGTTGAATAGAACTAGTGATCCTTCTACGACTGCTGATTCTTCTACAATTAACGTCGCAGGTTGCGAAGTTTAACTTCTTCCGCGCGGAGGGACTCCACGCACTTTTTTTTTTTTTTTTTTTTTTAGATCCACATCACATACTCTTCAAAATCGTTATTTCATTGCCGTTGGATCGGTTAATGCCGCTGTGATCCGAGATAGACTATTTCCCACGCATGTACTGAGGTAACCTTATGAGTTTATTTGAGAATGACAGTTGAAATTAAATGAGTTAAAAGTTAATTTTAACGTAATATAGTGCTGCCATCTAGTTATAGAAAGCTATAGATAAATTGCTTGTCGCAAACGTCAAAATGCAATCATGAACATTTGCAACTATTTTAATAAAGTATTTCTTTGCATACGTATTTTACTTAAATATATGAGTTCATTTTTAAAAAATCAATGTCAATCATATTTATTTTTAATATCTTTTGAATAATAATCATTATTGTTCTTAATCACAATAATAATTATCATTTTGTACTAAAAGCAGTTCTTTTAAATGGTTAGCTTGAAAAAAGAAACTGTTTGCAATTTGTGTATACATAAGTTACTCATTGTTAAGAAATAAATTTTTCTTTTATTTTGAGTTTGAAGATTTTTTATCATTAACATTTTTTGTTTTTATTAAAATAAAATTTTTTAAAACTATTAAAGAAAACAGTATTAAATTACTTCCTATTAAGTACGTAATCGAACTATTATGTATCAAACAAGGTCTTCTCGCAATTTTTAATTCTTATAGTATTTTTAAAAATCAGTTTTACAGTTATATTGCTTTAAAAATTGTTAGTTAAAAGAATCCTTTTGATTTATGATGCTGCCATCTATTAATAGAAATATTAAGATTATATACAGTATTTTAAAATTTATAAGAGAATTGGGGTTTGAGAAGATATTAGAATTACCGTAGTTTTATGCATAGAAAATTGTTGATAACGATTTGTGACGTTATACAACTAATGTACTTCACCCATATATAATTAATAGGAGGAAATAAAAAAAGGAAACAAACTATAACGCTAATTGCATTAACTTATTATGTAATAAAGAAATTTATGCTACTTTAACTTAAATAGAAGTTTGTTTACCTTAATCTTTTTTTTTCTATCTGAAATAAAAAAATTATTTTACTAATTTATTTATTTTTAATTTAAATATAAAACTTTATTTCAGATATTTATTTACGTTTCGAAGTTCTCGAAATAAGATTCGTTTGCAATCACATAAATTATTAATGCAATTATTTACAGTTTTTTTTTATTTTTATATAGAGTTGTCTATAATGTGCTTTTTGGGGAAAATATACAAGCTTCAAAAGTTAAAAATATAGTAGCAGTGTTTAATCACGCTTTACTAAATCAAGTGTAATTTTCGAAGCAAAAAATCTTTACATTAACCAAACTGACTTAAAGATTTTGTTACCAGGCATATTGACACCTCGTTCAAAAATTTAAACTACTCCAATAGCGATTTGAATAAGTTGAATATAATTTCAGTTCGAATTAGTTGTTCAGTTATTTGAATCTCTGTTTCATCTCGTTGCAAACTAAATAAATCTTAATTAAAATCACTGCTATCGATATTCGTATGCAATTCCATTTTTGATGGAAGCTCAGTTAAAACGTGCATTCAATTATTTGAATCATTCAGTTTTCTGTTTTCTATTCAGTTAACTATTGAGAGAAACTTTCACAAATTTATAGCTAAAACATTGGATTAGTTGAATTCAATTATTAATTGTGATATTTGATTTTGATCTTTAGCAATAATTTATATTTTAATAATTTTGATTTTATTATTATAGATTGATTTAAATACGTTGCTAAACTCTATTTTTGGATTTATGGACAAAGTTGAAATTTATAAGAGATTTCCGTTAACTTTAATGTACTAAGTTCAAAAAGTAATTGATCTATTTCATAATTTGATACTTTCAATTGATGTCATCACAGGTAAATCGTGGCATTTGTCGATGCAGAAGGCAATTAGGTTCGATACACTAGCGTGAAGTCAATTACAGGAATTCAATTAAATCCGATTTAAATCACATGGTTAGCATACTCACAGCACTTCTCGAGTTGCAACTATCCAATTCATAAGATAATTTTTTGAACATAAATTGAATGGAACATTTTGAGTTTCATTTACTGGCATGTTTAAGCTATGAATATCTATCATGTATGGCAACGTTACTTTAAAAAAGTAACGAGTAAAAGTACAAGTATATTTTAAAAAATTAACGAGTAAAAGTACAAGTATATTTTAAAAAAGTAACGAGTAAAAAGTAGAAAGTTCTTATTTTAAAAAGTAACGAGCAAAAAGTACAAGTACTAAACAAAAAAAGTAACGATTTAAAAGTACATTTCTAGGNAATTTCAAAGAGTTGCAGTTTAATTATACTGCTAAACGCATAAGTGATTCTTGTCAATTTAAATTGTTCTTATTAATTTAATTGTTTTCTTAAGTAAATATTTTTTTATAGACAAAAAACTAGTTTTTTTTTTAAAATTTAATTCTGAGTCTATATGCTCTGTTGTATTTCAAATTTAGATTACAAAAGATAGCTATTCGACGTTCAAGGTCCTGTGTTCGAGTTTTATCTTAGGACCTGTCATAACTTACTGAATTCTCACAAAACAATTCAGTATTTTTTTATTTACCGGTTTATTTATTTTAGACAAGAAAACGCAAATTTTCCATTCAGAAAATTCGATTAAATCATCTTATAGAAACAATATTACACATCAGTTTTCATTTTTTTTTTTAATTACCATAATTAAATAGAAATAAATTATTCTACAAATGCCACGATTTAATTTAGTTTCAATTTTAAACTTTTTGCCCAAGAGTCTGCACTCAACCCCTGATCGATATTAAAAGTCTGATGGTTTAAAAGTTTTAGAAATATCCAGCGTTTTTAAGATATTCAATAAGGTTTCTATGTGTATAGCCACCAATTAAAGTCGATAATTCAGGATATTCACGATTAAAGTGTCGTCATCTCTTAACTTTTAAATTAGAACACTGGATCAAGTTGTGCTTTATGGTTAGTGGTTCTCCGCAACTAGTGTAAATAGTCGCTGGTTCGTTAACTGAAAGGTGTCCGTATTTTAATGTTGTTTGGCCAATACGCAATCTGTTTATAAGAGTTGGAGTTATTAAGAGTTTCAAAAGGCACTTAAAGGTTTTATTTCATGAAATTTATTGTTTATCTCCGCATTTCAATCTGTTTGCCAATGGGTATATAAAGTATTTGTTCTAACTGCTTTTACGCCATGACGCGAAATAGGTTTGTTAGAAAGATTATTAGTGGTTTTTGCTGTTAAATCGGCATATTTCATTCCCAGAGATTCTAAAATGAGCAGGTATCCAGGAAAACAGTATTTTAAAGCCTTCCTCATAAAGATTCAACAATAACTTTAGTATATAGATTGTGAGAGAATGCATTTCAATATTTGAATTTCGTAAAGCTTCCAGATAGCTGTTAGAATCTGAATAAGTTATCGATTTTTGGGCGAAATATATATCATGACATTCAGATGTAAACACAAAACTATTAGATATAAGTTTCTCTGAATAGGTTTCATTGTTTGAAAATATCACAGCTGCAACATGGTCATTTATTTTAGAGCCGTCTGTGAACAAAGGTTTAAAATCTTTATACAAAGCTCTATGAGTAAAATATACTATTTCAAAAGCTGCAGGAGGTATTATTACCTTTTTAGTCTGGTGCCTAAAAATATCGATGATATGCAATGGTAACTGTTTAATGTATGATCTGCCAAAGTGAAAGAGGTGGAGATAATGGTACGACATTAAAATCTTCAATTCTTAGTTTTGATAAAAGTTGTTTTACTGTCAATCCAAAAGCTCAGTCGTCATATCAAGCGACAATTTTTAGCGAATAAGATGCAATTTTAAGAACTGCTAAGACTTTTTAAAAGTTAACCATGGTTGTTAGGTAAATATGTTTTCTTCTTCTTAAGCACGCGCCCTCTATGCTAACAACGAAACTGTCACAAATCGTCAACATTAAAAAATAAATTATTAAATTTATTTTGTGAATATTGAAAACCGTTTGCGATCTAACTTTTTACTATATTCAGCGTACACTAACGATTCCTGTTGACCAAGAGAAAATTGAGGTCGCTATAGAGATAATGTATAAATGTGAGGGAAACATTTAATGCTGGACTAATTTTGTTAAAACCATGCTATGCGTTAAAGAAAGAATTCTGTAAAATGAATTATCAGAACGATTCATTTAGTAGAACAGTATTAACTGATTCGAGACAATGTAAAACGATATTTGTTGCATTCGAATTATCTCGTTGACCAATCCAGACCAATAACTGTTAGAATCAGTCCCAAGATGGTTTTCAATTATATTTATCCTAGTGTAACTCAGTAAAAACTGGTACCTTCTTTTCAAACTAGGTTGTCACAATACTATATTTTCATATTTTCTGAAGACAAAATCACAATAAACAAATTTGAACAATTTTATTATAATATTAAGTGTTATTTTTAAATATTTACAACAATGGGAAAATGAAATGTAACGTAAAATGATCTGTTAATAAAATCTCATTTGGTAAACCTAAATTAAAACACCTTTTTAGATTGTCATGTAACCTTATCAACTTGAACTTCGTTAGATGCGCGGGATTTAATTGAATTCAAATCTAAAGAGTCTATCAGTTCTGATTTTGAATCCAAAGAGTTTGCATAGAGATTCCCACTGTTTATTGAGTCATGTAATGTTTTACCTTCTCCATTTACAGAATTGAAAGTGGTCCATAGTGGGCTCAGTCCGTTTTTATTCGAATCTTTTGTATCTGGAGTGTATGGAACCAACGGTTTCTTTGGACAAGAATCTTTAGTTTTATATTTCACGGATATGCCTTTTCTATTAGTTTGGTTATTTGAACTCAACCAAGATTTTAAATGATCTTTCAAAATGTCTTGTTTTAATGACTGGAAGTAGCCAGCAACGTCTCTTCCAGCCATGGTTTTTGAGCTGTAGTGAGCCAATTTATCTATCAAATTAGGTTCCGCGTCATTCAAGTCATGGACCGGGCATGTTTCTTGTTGTTTTTGACAAATATGTTCCCAGCCTTGAATTTCGTCTTCACTCAAAATCATTTTTTTAGGTTTTCTCTTCGACATGGAAGGAGGCACAGAGTTTTGTATGATCCTTCCAATCCACATGTCCACTAAACTCGGAGTGTGAGATGGAACTGGCTTCCGCCTACGTCGGCGACGACTTGGCGACGAAGCTCGAGATTCTAAGGAATCAGACGTCATATCCGTTGCAATAGTTGTCATACTCTCTGATGATGAGGATTTTTTGAGCAAATGTCCATTGTCCTTGCCGTCTTTGCTATTAGTTTCCTCTCCATCAGGTAGAACTACACGATCGAAGTATTCTTGGCACTTTTTTGGCGATTTAACTGGGCTTGATCTCCTAAAATTACCTGAGGTTGAGTCTGAGAAAGCACATGATTTGTAATCGCTTTGCGATTGAGTGCTGCTATTTGTATCCGATTGTTCCCCTGACTCTGCCGAATTTTCTTCCACAGTACAACTTTTTGAATCATCAGATTCGTTCTGATGATTGAACAACCCTGGCACAGCCTCGTAGTTTAAACTAAATGTTGAATTACTGAAAGTACTGAATTCTTCTGATTGATTCTTCTCTATACTCCGGCTTCCTGTCGAGTTAATGTCTACCTGTTTAGTAAGGTTCCTTCCTAAAACTGTCACAGCTGACAATGAACTACACGAAGAAGAATCAAAATCTTCCGTGTCACCTTCCGTAGAATTCGGACAACTTGCACTCAATAAATTAGTACTTTTGTTTTGCTGTAATAAATCCTGTTTATAAATATCATATTCTAAAGCATCCAGCGTATCGTTGAGAGTATTCATAGCATTCTGAATATCTTTTTCCTCTTCTTCAGATATTATATTGCGTTTTACACTGTTCGATTTATTTCCCGGATCCTTTCTCTTGGGCTTTTTTGGCGGTACTTTCTGATGATCTCTCAGGCTCTTTTCATCTGAATTATCTGACATTTCCAAAAGAGACGCTATTGAGGAAGACGAACCACCATCAGGAGTTGTTCGTATCTCACTGTTTTTCGAATTTTTCAGTTCTTGATAGAAATAGTCATCCTCTGGTATACCATTCAAAGTAGGTTGATACCGATAGCAACTACGCAGTCTGTGACGTGCGTACGTAACGGAACTCTGTAGGCGTTCGAGATATTCCTGAACTTCTTGAGGTGGTGATGCCAGAAATTCGGGGTCAAAAAACTCTGGTTCTATTTGGAAATCCTGAGCTCGAAATTCACAACCCTGTCCCATCCTATCAGTCCAAGTACGGTTGTATGTTTCAACAATGGAAGATAACTCAGACCAAGGTTCATGGTTTAGTTTTCTTTTCCCCATAGACATAGTGTGATACATATCGAGCCTTTTTGATGTTTCCATTCTACCTGCCTACAATAAAAAAATGATAAAATTCAATGAGAGCTTCCTATGGCAATAAATTATTTTAGATACATGTCAATGAAGATTTAAATTCTTTAAATAAACTCTTATATGTGCAGGGAAAATTCATTCTTTTTTAGCTGTTGGATCATAAAGGTTGACTGTTGAGAGTATTTACAAAAGAATATGAAAAATCTTAACGGTTTTGATACGCGAAAGCAACTGAATTTTAGATAAAGCCTTCGAAATCATACCTGGTTCATATTTTGATTCAGATGCATACCCACGTTTTCTTTAACTTCTACAATTTGAATTTTTGCCAATTTTAAGGACAAATAAAATTGAGCTGCATAACTTGTATAATTCGCAAACTTCTAACATAAATATAATTTAAAAAAAAAAGAACAGCAATCTACAATCACATCCCATTACAGCTTTTCATACATTAGATTAAAAAGTTTCATAAACTCATGTTTAACCTGTTAAAATCATGTTTAACCTGTATGAAACAAAATATTTGGTCAGGGAAAATTACTTAAGGTATGATGGTATTATTTATTAAGTCGCTACTTTGTTACGAAAATAAATGAAATTAAGAAAATGAAACTAACACTATGAAGAAAAAATTCCCATTATGAAACGAGTTTAATAAAATTGTATTTCCTTGTTCTAACAGGTTCAACACCCAATCTAAAGATTTACTCAATTTAAACACTCTTCAACCTATGTTTTATTAAGATAAATATACAGCAATTAAATCTAAATGATGCGATTAAATTATAATTAGTATTATTCATTCCAATAACAGTAAATTGTATCTGATTTTACGCTTTAACAAAACGATTGAGCATACGAACACGAAACAATAAAATTTAACAAAATTTATTCAATAAAGCCATATTTATAAAGTAAATACTTTAAATTTGTAAATTTTATTTAACTACTATGCATGCCTTAATTCTTTATTATTACTATGAGCCATTGACAAGACTTATTTTTCGATACAATTATTATAATTTTTTTTAATGAGAATTTATCAAATTAAAAATTCGTTGTGCGAATAATGCAACTCACGTTTCCTGGATGATCATCTCCAGTTTGGAGTTGACCTTCATGGTCAATTCTTCGTCTTCTTTTAGAAAGCTGCTTGCGACGTATTTTTAGATAGACAAGTACGGCTAATACGTAAACCAGTCCCAGAATTCCAAGCGATAAACCAACAACCATCATATTAGTTTTCGTCGAAGATCCTTCCATATCATCAGAATCAATTCCTGGGGAAGAGATTAACAGCACATTTTAATATATGTAACACGGTGTACGTTTTACTTTATATAATAACATACGTTTCTACTTTATATAATAACACACGTTTTACCTTATATTTACATAATTTTTAAACATTTTTTGTAATCTATGTCATTAATAGTAATACATCTGGGTCGGATTTAGAAATCCTAATATTGAGCTAAATGTACATCATGTTTATGTACAAAATGCTTTTAAAGGATTTATAATGTTAGGGAATTAAGATTATAAAGAGAATTTAATCTTATATTTAATTTAATTTTTGCTTACTTAGACTTTTAGAAGACAAATCTTAAGGAAAAATACAAAAACATTATTTTCAAAATCTAAGAGGTTTTTAAGTTTAGCCCTGCCAGCCTTATAATGAATGTGTAATTGTAGTATAAAATAAATTACTGATATAAAATTTTTTAAAGCCAGGATTTAAATAAAACATTAACTTCCAACTCAAAAATTATTATGCGTTTTCTTTCCAAAATATCCAAAACTAAAGCTGTGTCTTTAAAGTCAACATTTTACAAGTTTAAATGTACTTTGGCGCATAATTATCTTCACTATCACTATTTTACATTTATTTTCTGAAACAGAGTTTTGCTTGAATAACCTTATTCAGTATATTGCTGACATAACTGTAAATTTTGTCTAAATCTTATATTGCAGAAACACTATTATTAAATATAAGCTGTTTCCTTTTTAAAATTATGGCTATAATATATTCGTCACTTAAAAATAATTCGTGCCTTCTAAAAATATTTCCCAACAAATATATAATATTGCAAACTTGAAATTATGGAAGAAAAAAAATTTAAATAGTAATTTGAAAACAGTACTGTAACTCTATTTATGGTATACTTCTCTCAAATTAGTATATTTTAATAGACAAACAACAATTTTGGATGTATGCTTAACACATTACCAGGTACCCATCCCACTCGAACAGCCACACAAGTTTCAAATGGGGAATACTCAGGAATTCTGCAAAAGAGGCGAACCATAGCTAGATGTTGCTGAAGCTGTCGGCGATCATGAGAGTTACCTAAAAACTTAAATTTCATACTAATTAAGAAAAATAGAAACAAAGAGTAGAAATAAAAAATTATACAGGGTGTTTCATTCAGATATTATTCAGTAGCAAAGGAGTAGAATATATTTTGGACATTGCTTTATACAGGGTGTTTCATAATGACAACCCTTAGTGTATCTTTTTAGAATCCTTGTCAACAGAAAAGTAAAAAGAAAGTACACATATTAGGGGACGCTAACTAATATCCAAGCGATGAAGAAACAAAAACACTATCGAAATCTACCAAATCACTTGCAAAAACAACAAAACCTGTGTGATTACCTAATTGGTTTTCCAACTCCAGTTCTTTTTTCTTCAATCAAGCAGGTTTTGTTTTTCAAGTACTGCCTTTCTCCGTAGGGATTCTTTAGATTTTTAAAGAATTTTTGTTTTTTTACCTTCATATATAATATTACTTGCGTACTTTTTACTTCGTTTTTGACAAGCATATTTAAAATGTACATTAAGGGTGGTGATTATATAACACCCTCTATAGGATTAATGAGAAGTGAAGTTACATAATTCCCACCTGATACTTTTTCAGGAAGTGGAAATAATGTTTTTAGATTATATATGTGTTAATTTATGTAAATTAACCATAACATTATCAAGGTGAAGAAGTTATACCTGTAAAAATGTTTTATTGCCATCAGTAAACAAACCAAAAACTGGTCCTCCTCCATCTACACGGGTTAGTGTACGCCATCCCTCTGGTGTGAGATACTGAGATACAGCCGCTTTGCATGATGGGAAGGCTCCTTCGGAGTTCCTACGACCTTTAATTAAATACGAAATCATTTTTATTTAGCATATTCATCAGATAATATCAAATGTTAAACCCATTAACTCAATGATAATACTCTTTTAACTCAATGATGGTTAATTGGAAAGAGTTCGCATAAGTTTTGCTCGAACATTGCTATGGCACAAACAACTTCAAAATTGTAATGGATTAAATTGCTATCTATCAGGGTTTTTTTTTTATATTTATGGCAACGGAAATAAAAACAGTCAAAGAACTCAATGTACTGTGCACAAATTAAAAAAACAGCCCTTGCTGAATAACTTCAGATCTAATAATCGGATCTTCACGTTCTAGGACTCAATCTTAATGGTTCGAGGGGGTAACCTATGCTAATTAGTGCGGATGTTATTTTAAATTAAGAAATCAGACTCAAAAAGGTACTTTCTCTGGATTAATATGCCCTTTTTTTGACGGATTCGAATTTCTGACCCCAGAAATATAGGGAGTAACAGCTATCTGGGAAACAGGGTCCCAATAGTTTGATCCGGAGAGCGGTCCAAAGATTGTACCCCTCAATGTTAATTTTACTTTTTGCGTATGTCATCAAATCTCGAGAACTTTTTAAGCAATGGAAAATTTTTTGCACACAATTATAAAATTCGTTAATCCAAAAATGATTCCGTGCAAAAAAAATAACTTTTAATAAATATTTATTATTTTTAATTACTTTAATTAATAATAGTCGAAAAAAATTTGAATTGTAAAGTATATAATTTTTCCATCATTTTTAAAAAATGCAATATTAAATGGCAAAATACAAAATTTGAGCGTAATCAATCGAATAATTCCTAAAAGATCAAACTTTAAAAAAAGACATGTTTTTTTATTATTAAGTATTAATTAACACAGTTGAGATCACTTCTTCGAACCATTAATATTGAGTCGTAGAACTCGAAGATCATTAGATCAGAAGTTATTTAGATTGGTCTGTTTGTTTTTTATGCACTGCACGTTAACAGGTCTCGACCATTAAGCTGCGAAGCAAGTTGAAATATTAAATAATAACAATAATTGAACAAACATCCGTATGTTTGTAATATCAGGAATACTACTAATAACATACTGATTATTTTTAGTCATTTTAAAGATGTAACTTTTAAACTCAAAGTCTTTAAACTTATTTTAAAATAAAATTTGCTTCTGCTGCTTGATAGATTTTTTAAATGAATGATTTAAACTATTAATTTAAATCTGTTTTTACATGGTTGAAAATCATATTATCTACAGTATTATATAAGATTCATAAACTAATCTATATTTTTATATGCATTTTGAACACTTGCCATTTTTAGTAATTTTTTAAAAGTTCAAATATTTTTACACATTTATATTCTGGATAGTACTTATCAAATACAACACTTATCAAATACAAATATCATAGTCTAAAGATTAAAACCACCGACGAACACTAGAAATACACTTAGTGTTTTTAGGGGTGTAATGTAAAATACATCTTACCAGAAAGTGAAAGATGAGCTTCGGGATGCACTAATTGACCACTTGTAGGAAGATAGACTAGAGGAATGGCTTCAACGGTGAAGGGGCGGTAAAACACGGACATGTAGCATTCTAATAATATTGAAAAAGAAAAACTTAAAAAATTATTACATACATAAGACAATTAACTTAATGTGTATAGCATTAAAAAACATAATAATGAGTACAGCATTAATACTGAAGGTTGTTTTTTTTTCTGTAGTTCCCCGATGATTACTTTGCAATAACTGTTGCGCCTTGGCATGAAACAGTTTTTTCTACGAAATGCAGAATTATTGACTTAAAATGTACACCGAAGAACCATTATATTATGACCACCCTCCATCTATAACAATGGGCTCGCACAGGTTCTCATGGTTTCTCGCCCAGGAACAATGTTTTCATGCGGCACATTAGGACCCATAATCCTCATAGAACAATCTCTGACGTCTGCAAGCTACTTGAACATAGTTGCATACCAGGTTCACTCATTCATGGCAACAGTTTTACCTGCGGGGAATGGTGTTTACCAACAGGATAATGCACCATGTCATAAGGTTCGAATCGTCATGGATTGGTTCGAGGAACATTCCAGTGATTTTCAAGTCATGTCTTGGCCCCCAACCTGACCTTAATCCAAAAGCGCATTTGTGGTCCTACTTGGAAAACCAAATTCGTGCTGCCACGCTACCCCCTCGCAATGCGAGGGAATTGTAGGACCAGTTGGTGAGCTCTTGGTACCAGATACCTCAGACTACCTATAAGCACCTTGTGGAATCAATGCCACGGCGGGTGCTAGCAGTTTTGAGGACTAAAGGTGGTCCTGCATGTAATTAGCAGGGTAGTCATAATGTAATGGCTCTTCGGTGTATATACTAAAAAGAATTCTGTTCGCTTGCGCTAGTATTCCAGGTCGAACTACTGGTATATTTCCATTATGATTCTATTCTAATCTATAAGTCAATATCAGTCATTTTTCTAAGTAATCATTTTTCTTAAAAAATAACATTTAAAAGTAAAATTTGGTGAGATCACAACCGTAGCTTAATATTTACTCTGTGGAAAAACTGGATCCTAACATTTGAAAACTGTGTTAGACCATTATGTTTTTATGTTATATAGAGAAATACTAATTCCTTGCGGTTATTTGGTGCCATTAGAAAGTCTTAATTCTAAAATAATTGTCAAAGCTTTTAGATGATCTGCAACCTCGATCAGATCAATGTCTGAGAGAATGTTTGCAATCGCTATTGCGACTTGTTTCTTCACGTATTGCGACACAAAAATTCTTAGGGGCATGCCTTGAAATCGTTGACAAAACCTTGGAGCCTACATGCGAATGACATGCCAGTTCCTTAATGAGTTTATGAATATCAGTTTCAGAAAATTTAATAACGATAGCTGTTTTTGAAAACAATCTTTTCTATTTATCTCCTAACAGCATTAAAGGTATGTTCCATAGTTAAAACTGAGTCTCGATAGCATAGAGGTTAAAGCACTGAACTGCCATTGTGAGGGATTGTAGTTTTGGCAGCTTGAGCATAGCTTCAAATCGATGGATACTAGTCTCAGTAAGTACATTGTCACCACGGTACCTTTGGACAACAGCCTCCATGATCTATCGCCCACAACAGAATGTTTTACTTCGTATTTAAAACTGGTCCTAAAATGTTTTTTTTAACAAGATCCTTTAAGCGTTTTCAGAATATATTTTTTTCCAATGCTCACCTGTGTTAACATCCGTCGATTCAGGCATATACAGGGCAATTTTGTTGGCCTCTCTTTCAGGGGCACCATAGTAGGTGGGCCAATGTCGCTCCCACAGTGAGGACAGATCAGAGAAGGAAAGAACACCCATGCCTTGCCCGGGATTCGAATCCAGAACCTTTCTGGTGCAAGGACAGTTCCCTGCCCCTACACAGGCCGGTCGGCGTTTTCAGAACATAACACGGCAATTTCTTTCACTTATGCGGGTTAGTTTCATCAAAAAGTCCTCCACGAAGGCAAATGTCTCCCAATCCTCGATCCAGGAGTTCCCTTGTCTTCTGGATTGGGTTCAAAATTTCACGTCTACGGAATTGAACATTAGTAGTCGTAAACCCATAAAAAATTGGGTCGGCTATTCAACGACGGTTATAAAATATAAAATTATAAAATCAACTTAACCGGCTGTTCAAGGACGGATAAAATAAAATAATCAACTTAACCTAGTCGTGGTGGCTCAGGGGATAGAGCGTTCGCCTTCCAATGAGGTGTACTGGGTTCCAATCACAGCGATGGCTGGTAGTTACGAGTTCCACACCCAGTTCGAACTGACCACAGTGCTGACGTAAGATATCCTTAGTAATATACGAATGTGTTACAATCCTCTTGCCGTCAGTCTAACGGTGGGAGGCTTTATTCACCATGTAGAGCGAATGCGGGTAGTTCCACCAAAAAGTACTCCAAGAAGACAAATTCCTCCCAATACTTGATTCAAGAGTTCCCTTGTCTTCTGAATTGGGTTAAAAATTACAAGAATGCGGATTTGAAGATTAGTAGTTGTAAACCCATAAAACCGGGTCGGTTGTTCAACGACGGTTATAAAATATAAAATAAAATCAATTTAACCTCCTCTCTCTCGTTTACTTTAATTTGCCTACAAATTTTTAAAAGTAATTATTATTTACTTTGTAGAATACGGTTTAATATAATATTCTGCTGCAATGGCAGATTAAAAGGTTGAACGTGATGCGATTTTTCTTATTTTTATGCCACCAGAGTGTGTTTCATTGCCTAAAAACCTCCAAATTAACGCGTCAATTGAAATTTTCATCAAAAAATAATAATAATACACATTGAATGCCGCAATGATCTTAAAATCCAATAATTTATCCTAAACATTTATAACGAGATAGAATTTCCTTTCTCACGAAATTTTAGCAGTAAAATAATTGAAGTATGAAATCAACAAATACTAGCTATTGCAATAAAACGGTTAAAAATTATACAAGATGAATTCCAAAAATTTTAATTCATATTACAGAAAAGATTAAGGTATGAAGTTTCATATAAAGAAGTATTTATATCCCTTCGTAGAAATAATAAAATATCTCGAAATAGGTATTCCAAGAAATTACAGTTGTGGTTTTTCTTTCTCACGAAGATTTAAAAAGACACAAACATTACCTTTTATATCTTTAACGCACTGCTGCTTGTCCTCTCTGTAAGTAAGATGAGTTGGTGCGCACTGGCAGTAGCAGGGGCGCCCGGCAACTTCCAAGGCGGGGCGCGCGCCCCCATTATCGCACCTGGACCCATTGTGACAGTCCCGCATGCGAAATATGTCACCATAAAAATCACGCGTGATGTCACTTCCGACTGCAAGTGTGACGTAGATGAGTAGGAAAAGACACAGCATGACCATCCATTCGGGTCATGTGACTTCTAGATTCTCTTTGAAAACTGTAGGTGGCGTAAGTGTCTGTCTTATTGGTAGCCTGTGAAGAAACATTCAGTTGTTCAATAAGAGATGTTTAAAAGCAGTTGTATGCAATGTAATCAGGGCCTATAATCAATGTAATCTGAAAGAAAAAAATTATTTCAGCCACATACTGTAAAATAAGAAATAATTAGCATATTTCACTTCATAACAATTACCACTTTCAAGAGAAACGTACAATAGTTCTCGATCCGGTATTGGGTCGATGCGATAGCTTAAATTCGTTGTAAAGGCTTATAGGAAAATAAATAGCATAGTAATAGTTTGAAACCAGTTTTAACTGTTCATGTGTATTGGTTAATTCGTATTTCTAAATCTCAAAATTCCGTTAATTGCTTATAACGACAATAATTAAAATAACGTGTTAACGTCAATAATTAAAATACATACCAAGCATTTTTAATTTTAAAAAAATCAATCCGGTATTAACGAAGATACGTTTTTTACTTTGAATTATTGCAGAAATACGTTTTAAAAAAACCCTGCTTTAAAAAACCTTGTGACAAAATGAAGTCCTACTCAATTTGCCCCGTATTATAATGAATATAAAGATATCAAAGTAATGTTATAATGAATATAAAGACATCAAAGTAATGTCATAATGAATATAAAGATATCAAAGTAATGTTATATTGAATATAAAGACATCAAAGTAATGTTATAGTGAATATAAAGATATCAAAGTAATATAATTAAAGTATTTATGAAATAGAGATATACATGCAGAGGTATTATAATGAAGTTTTCAATGCAGTCTTTAAAAACATTCAATACGAGAACCTTTTGTTAGAAAACCATTCTCGTTGTTTTTTTTCCAATTAATATTATTTTTACTATTTTACCTGGTCAAACTGTTTTTTTAATAACTCAAAAATGAAATAAATGTAAATAATTAAACAAATAAATTGCGCAGTACATTGTGATTATTCAAAAAAAAAATTTTTTTTAACTTTGTTTTTTAAGAAATACAATTTAATCACAAAATAGGGAGTCATGGAGGTTAAGTCCATAAAATTCCGTGACCAATGCTGGAATTATGGCATTGTGGTCAGCGCGCCTTTTCATACCATGGAAGCTGGTATCCATCGACCTGGAGGTCGGTGGGCTTCCACCCTCCACTTGAGATTAAATCCCAGTTCGTCACAATGACAATTCATTCTAATAATCACTGAACTATTCCGGCTCCTTTTTATTAGTAATGCAGTTAATTTATCTTGTATAGTAGCATTAGATATTCTTGCCTTAAATAAGCTTGCAAACCTACATTTGAATTGAATTGAATGTAAGTTTTAATAGCAGGAGTTCCAAAAGGACATGTTGCACCAATTGAAGGGACTTAAAACAAATCAATAGTAAAATGCATATTATGAATTTCACTCGCTAAAACACATAGCATTGATTAAGCGGTGCATGATAAATCAGGTAAATTGAAAGTGATTGAAATCAGATAAACTTGTAGTTAGGATAAAACAGTTATGCACAATATAAAATAATAGCACTCAAAAAGGCTAATATATTAAGGTTATAAGTTTTATCTAATAAATCTTACGTACATAAAATTGGAGCTTCAAAAATGCAAGACGATGTTAATTAAAACAGAAGTAATAGATTAAAATGTGATGAATCGTGAGTAAAAGGTTGCTATTATTGCATTTGAAAGGAGGTTTCCCAAACAACAAATGAAGATGAGTAAGTCTAGTATCAAATGTACTTTTGAATACAAATATTTTACAGAACGCTTTGCAGATAAATTAAATTGTAAAGTTTTTCTATGATGTTTCAAATCAATACAGACGACATGTTGCAAATCAATACAGACAATTTTCAACAAGGCGAATTAGAATCACTTAACAAATAATTTTTTTTCCTTTAGAGGTGAAAAACGAGAAAATTTAATTTAAAAAAAACAGCGAGGACCTTCATTCCGCTAGCTTTAAAAACAAAAATGTCACGTGCCTTGTCACCTATTAAATCCCACCTTTGTCTAACAACAAATTAAAATGATTTTCTAAGCTCTTAAGTAATCCACCCAAAAGAAATATTTTAATGAAGCCGCGTGCTCGGTTTTTAATTGAGTGAGAATCTCACGAAAGCATCATTGAAATGAAAACAATGCGTTGGAAGTGCAGAGAAAATACTTTTTTAATGGTCATAGTTTATTAAGGGAGGAACTGATGCGTATTAAATCGAACGAAACGGTCAGCAACCCTTGCTACCGGGTTGCGAAAGAATGAAGTAGACAGTGAAAAAAGAAAGAAAGTGATAAAATGATTTAATTGTATATATATTTTTTATATATACATTAGCCATGACATTTAACGAGATTCTGGGGCGGATCTGCAATGAGAGAGAAAGCATTGCATTTCCCCATTCCGTTATGCAAAACTGAGAGCTGGAGCTTAGGTTGAAATGAATGTTTCAGTTGAAAAACTTATCCTCTTTATGTTACAGATATGTTCGTTTACATATTCACCTTCGTTTACGATTGTTTCAAACGCATAGCTTTTGTTTTAATTAAGTTACGAAATTTCATATTTAACGAAACTTTAGAACGGATACGCTATGAGAGAAAACGCATTGAATTTTCTTCATATTCTTATTGCAAAAGTGTGAGTTTGAACTTAAGGTGTTTTGAATGTTTCAGCTAAAAAACTCACCAACGCATTGAATTTCGATATTTTTTTGGCAGAAGAGTGAGTTGGAACTTAGGGTGTAATGAATGTTTCAGTTGAGAAACTCATCAACGCATTGAATTTTCATATTCTTATAGCAAAAGTGTGAGTTTCAGTTGAGAAACTCATCACCTTCAAGATTAAGATATTTTCATTTGAGTACTAATCTAGTTAGCAATTTCTTCAAATACATTAATAGGTTTTGTTTTAATTAAATTACGAAATTTTATATTTAACGAAACTTTAGAAGGGATACGCTATAGAGGAGAAAACATTGAATTTTCATATTCCTTAATGTAAAACTGTGAGTTGGAACTTAGGGTGTAATGAATGTTGCAGTTGAGAAACTCATCACCTTCATGATTCTGATATTTTCATTTACATACTCAATCTAGTTTGCAATATTTTCAAATACATTTACAGATTTTCTTTTAATTTAAATTACGAAATTTCATATTTAACAAAACTTTAGAAGGGATACTCTGAGGAAGAGAAAGCATTGAATTTTCATATTTCTTAATGCAAAAGTGTGAGTTGGTACTTAGAGTGTAATGAATGTTTCAGTTGAGAAACTTATCATCTTCATGATACAGATATTTTCATTTGAGTACTCAATCTAGTTTGCAATTTTTTCAAATACATTTAGAGGTTTTATTTTAATTAAATTACGAATTTTCATATTTAACGAAATTTTAGAACGGATACGCTATGAGAGAGAACGCATTGAATTTTCATATTCTTATTGCAATAGTGTGAATTGGAACTTAGGGTGTAATGTATGTTTCAGCTGAGAAACTCATCATTTTCATATTACAGATATTTTCATTTGAGTACTCAACCACGTTTAAATTTTTTTCCAATACATTTATGGATTTTGTTTTAATTCAATTACGAAATTTAATATTTAACGAAACTTTAGAATGAGAGAGAACGCATTGAATTTTCATACTAAAATTAATGCTTAAGGCAACCTAAGATTCATTTGGTTAACTGAATCTAAGTAAATACTTAACGAATAAATAATTTAACACTACTTAAATTATTACTGAAGACAATCTAACAAAATGAAAAATAATTATAGTGTTGCTAATAAATTGAGAAATATCCGAGTTTATGGTGCCATATAAGAATAATATATATATTAATAAATAGATTAGAAAAATCTAAATAATTATTCAGATTTTTCTTAATAACTAGGAGGCTTCGCCCCCTGCTCGCTGGCGCTCGCCAACCCCCGGAACTGCTTACGCAGTTCATTTCGGATTGCTTCGCAATCCAATGCTCGCTTTGCTCGCTCATTGGATACGTTCTTAACGTCTAG